CAATGTAGCAAGATAGTTTGATGGATAAATAACATGTTGTCTACTGACTTCCCCTGATCCTTTCTCTATGCTAGACACTGTAAATGAGCAAAATGTGGAGAGGGAAAGAAAGAAGAAGAGGAAAAGATCAGAATGTAAAGGTGATTAAGAATAATAATGATATCAAGCACTATAATTTTGATTACAGTTTGTTACCAGAGCGAGTTAAAAATCAATGATTAACGTGCTTTAAATGTCTTCTTAAACTTGCAACTGCACCATACATTGATCAACTTTGATCAAATGCTTGTAATGCATCAGGTCTTTCTTCCAAAATTCATCAATGTCAGTTGATTTATAATGGGGAAGGCAAAACATTCATTAATTATCAATAGTTTGAAGACCTGCCCCCACTGAAACTGGATATTAAAAAACATGTCTATATCCTCTTTATTGCCTCATCCCTTCTCTTTGTTAGACAGTATGAATGAACAGGGTATGAGGAAAAAGAAGAAGAAGGACAAAACAAGCAGTGAGTATTTTAGAATATTGACACACCCATAGTACATGGCATTATGTTTGACTTGTGACAACAAGTAGAGTTGACTTACAGTGTATAATGGGGTAGGCAAAACATTTATCATAAATCAATAGTTATGACCTGTCCCCCACTGACATGACTTAATTTGGTTTGCTCAATTTCTCTATCTTAGACACTAAGAATGTACAAGGTCTAAGGAAGATGAAGAAGAAGAAGGAGAAGAAAAGAATTGGTAACTTAGACATAGAGGATAACAAACTAGACAAAGGTATAGTAATTAGCTTACTTGTTATATTATACACACCATCTGTCTTCTCATTGGCTAAGAGTCTACAGCTAATTTTGAAAATAAGCTCAACCTACATATTAATTAGTTGTCTGCTAATAGATTAGTGACAAATCCATAGGGTGTATGTGCAATGCATGATTAACAATAACAATATCAATTCAGGTTCTTTTTTTTAATTATTTGGGAAGTGATCTGCCATTTTCACACAAGAGCGATCTCAAGATGGAGAAAGGCTAGATGTTTCATTCACACATGAGTAGAATATTATTTATGGCCAAACAAAATTGGACCACATTGCACATGTAGCCTGAGCAAGCAGCCAGCATTTGGCAACGCCACCACTGGTTTCCCTGCAAAATGATGTATGAGAAACGAACGCAGAAGTTCCATACTGATGATGCAACACTACCCAGACATCATTGTCATCAGTGTGGAATTTCTGCACTCGTTTCTCAGACATCATTTTTACAGGAATTGGTGGCGTCGCAGAATATCGGCTGTTTTCGCAGGCTATTGCACATGCATTATTTGTACCTAGTTATTAGCAGATAATGTGTTGGGCTCTCAGGTAATGAAACTAAAGTTAAATTTGCATTCANACGAACGCAGAAGTTCCATACTGATGATGCAACACTACCCAGACATCATTGTCATCAGTGTGGAATTTCTGCACTCGTTTCTCAGACATCATTTTTACAGGAATTGGTGGCGTCGCAGAATATCGGCTGTTTTCGCAGGCTATTGCACATGCATTATTTGTACCTAGTTATTAGCAGATAATGTGTTGGGCTCTCAGGTAATGAAACTAAAGTTAAATTTGCATTCAATGATGTTATTTTTTTGTTGTTATGAAAGTTAAAAATCATTTATTAACTTGCATTCAATATTACCTAAACTCTCAGCTGTACCATACTTTATATGAAAAAAAGATCATCACCGTTATAGAAGCAACTTTTGCAGTTGACAAAAGGAAGCCTGGAAAAAAAACAACGGACTTGTATGGGATTCGAACTCTTGACCTCTGAGATTGAGCTAACAAGCCAATTGGGGATAATAGGGAAGCGAAAACATTCATCAGTAATAATAGTTTGAAGACCTGCCCCCAACTGAAGTGAGTTGGATAGCTAGATACTAAATAACATGTCAAAGTCCTTTTTCTTGCCTCACCCTTTCTCGTTGTTAGACAAAATGAATGAACAAGATATAAGGAAGAAGAAAAAAAAGAAGGAGAAAAAAACCAGCAACTTGGACATTGAGGAGAACAAACAAGAGAAAGGTTGGTAGTCAGCATACTTCTCTCCAGAGTACATGTAATTGTCCCAAATATCATAGTTAGTACTCCCAAGTTCTTACCTTCCCAAATTCTTGAACTTGTTTTTTTTAGTATTACTATAATGAAAAATTTAGATAAGCTGGTCATACGAGTAATCCCCACGTTGCTTAAAACTTAAAATATTGTCTGTCTTGCACTCTTATTTTTTTAAAAAAGAAATGTGGGGTCATCAGTTGTCCTTGTAGGAAAAAGGAGATTAGAGCACAGCTCCTAGGTTTAAGTCTATGACATAATAAATGATTCATAGTTGTTTTATTTTTTATATTTCTCCTAGACTTAACAGAGGATGAGAAGCAGGTTAAAAGCAGAAGACAGAGGCGTAGGCAAAAAGAGAAAGAAAGAAAGAAGAAAACTCTCATTGGAAGATCATAATAAACTGTTCGTAACTGTTCGTAAGCCACTACAGGTGGTGACTGTTGCACAAAAAACACCTTTTTTTATACAGATAAAGTTGCTTGATGTTTTTGTATATTGAACATGAGACAAAATTTGCAGATTTATCAGGATACTTTGTTGTTTATGAAAAGTTTTTGTTGCTTATTATACAGTTACAGGATGCATAATTCATAGTTAATTATTTCATAGATTGCATTATGCATTTCTAATGCAAGAAGTAAGATGTCATGCAAAGTTCCTGGGAATGCATTACAAAAAAAGTATTAAAAGTAGTGTGCAGTGGTTGATCCCTATACCAGTGACCCTACCTTATTTTCAGGCCAATGAATGGTATCCCTGAGCCGAGGACAAGAAGAAATTATCATTACATTCGAGAATGTGACCCTTTTGTTTTCCAGCGAGCCCACTCGTTTCCATAAAAATAATTATGCCTCTGCTTGCAAGATGGGCCCCCTCAAAAATGAACAGGCTACCCGTCAACCTGATCCACCATTGCATTACTCATGTCCTAATTATAAACAGAAAACTTATACCTGCAGTAGAATACTAAACACTTGGAAAAGTAACAATAAGCTAGCCTTTTTGAAGAAACAAAACAAGGAAGAAAAATATACTAAATACTAAGCTTTAAGCATTTAAGCTTAAAGTAAAAAATAAACATCTCTTGATATCAACTGCATCAAGATACGCACTTAAAAGGTGAAATTGTCCTATAACTCGGACTCTCCATTAAGTATTTTTCAAACCTCGAAACAGAATAAGCTTAAGTTTATGAATTAACTACATTGAACCTTAAGCTTACTCTTTGATATTCTCGCTGCATAATTGTACATACCCTAAAAGACAATCATATTAATAAAATCGATTGATCTTCTCAGTTCTTGACACGAGTTAATTAATGACCGTAAAAGTACACTTACGTAAGCCAGCAAAATCCCTCCGTTTTCCCCCAAACATTGCATAAACATAAGGGCGCGACGTGTTGCCACCTCTTCTTCGCACAACCTCCTCCCGAGCCGCGCACATGTGAAAACGAAAACACCCTGGGGACCAGCTTACGGGTTCAACGGTCGTGTAATCGTGGTTGTGGCGTTCAGCGGTTTTAGAGAAAACAAGGGTTGGGGTGCTCAGTCTCGCGGGCTCATCAGAATTTTTGGCTTTTTCTCAGCCGATCAACAGCCTAATATCCCGAGGGTCTTTTGTGCTCGCAAATTCGCGACTTGCTCATTTTTGGGGTGGGTATGTGCCGCCCGGGACTCCAAATTGGCACCCCGTTCTAGAAAAAAATTTCCCCTACAATTGATACCCCGTTCTAGAAATGGGCCAATTTTTTATACCCCGTTCTAGAATTCGCCCTAAAACTGATACTCCGTTCTAGAAATGTGCCAATTTTTTATACTCCGTTCTAAGGTGCAACAAGAGTACAACGGTTTGCTTGTTAACGCATTGAACCGTATTTTTAAAAGCAATCTCTCCTTGAACAATCTCAAATGGCTGCTTACAAAAGTAGAGCTTTCGTGCGTTCGAAATATTATACCCCGTTCTATCTAGAAAAGACTACTCAGTTTCTGACTTTATCTCTTTTGACTCTAAGTTCTTTTGCAGCCGAAATAATTTTTAGCTGTTACAAAGTATGACTGGATCTTAACTTCTCTTTTCATAGAACCAAAGTAGGCCTTAAGGGATACCCCATCCCTATAGCACAACACCTTATCAAAATCTTGGCGAGTCCGCTAAGGAAAAAAAACATGGCTTGCATACGTATACGTATATGTACGTATATGCATAGGTCGCACATGTGGACTGCGGCGGTACTGAAAGCTGAGAGTTGGCACGCGCCAGAGTACGAGAAACCAGAAAAACGTGTCAACTGAAGAAACATATCAACGACTGAGTATTGCTGGTTTGCACGTGACGTCACAGCAGTCATGTTGGCGGTGTGTTTGGGCATTTCTCTCATCTGGAAACTAAACACTATTTTCATGTAAATTTTTCGAGAAAAAAATTATATTGTATTGACCACCAACACACCACCGACATGGCAACCTTGCAACTGGTATCATAATTTTTCAGAAAATCGCTCTTCACTATTCATACCATACCCGTTCTCAAAGCAAAACATATACCACATAGTAACTAAAGAAAAGAAGTATTTCAAGTCGTTACCTCATATATCAATATTTTATTTATTCATCTCGTTATTTTTATCGCCTCTTCCTGACGCTGAAGTGTTAAGAAGCGGTCTTCATTATGGTAATTATGATGGTGTGAAAACGCTTTGGGTATCCTACAAGCTAAAGGGCCTCCTGGGAATATCAATTGTTTCTAATTCAAATACGCAGCTGATACTCCTAACAGAAGTCGATTGCGCTCTCTAACAAAGGTCAAATACTCCTTATTTGCCTTGCAACCGTAGCTATTTCAACCTTAAAACGCGGAGCAAACTCCTCGCTAAGAAGAAAATGGAACACATAACGACAGTTCATGAAACTCCTCCTGACTTTCAGTGTCAAATTTGGTAAGAAATGAGAGTTGAGTTGTGTCAAAGATAATTGTCAAACCCCACAATTGAAAATATATTTCTATTTTATGTTTGCAGTCACCAACTCATGATTTTCCCCGCGATTATTCCAGAATGTGGCCATACTTACTGCAAAGATTGCCTAGTACGAGTACAAAATCAAGGGGCTGCAAAACACTGCCCAAGTTGTCGTACGCCAATATCTAGCGAACTGAAAACCAACTTCACCGTCAAGAAGCTCGTGGAGAATTTAGAAGCAAAATGTGACCTCTGTCAATTGGAAGGTAAAATTGAACAACTCGCGAATCATAAATGCCCGGAGGAGGAGATTAAATGTGAAAACGGTCAATGCAGTACCAAAGTGAAGAGAAAAGACCAGGAAAGACACGAGGAAGAATGCATTTTCAAAGTGGTGTTCTGCGAGAGGTGTCATCGAAGCACCACAGTGGCAAACTTAGAAATCCACCGCGAGGAGACATGTCCGGAAGGTGAAACTAACTGTCCACTTAAGTGTACGAAGCGTCCAAAAAGGTATGTTTGATCTTACAAATCTCAACAGTATCACATTGAGTTTCATTCGTTAATAAGGCAGCCAGTGGTCTCGCCACGTGGTGAGTTCGCCCCAACTAGTTTGAACCAGAAGAAATCGTGCTCAATCATAGTAGCTCCATGATAACCGGAATTAGCCTCGGAAAATTTTTAGAACTAAATCCACGATCCATGAGCCATTATGATTTTATTATGAGACCCCGTACTCTCTTTGTACCAAAGCTTGTTTCGAGGTAAACTGTGATTCAACTGAAGCACTTGACATACTTTGCCAACCCTTTTGTGCCGTGGGGTGTGGTAGTGTTCAGTTTTTTTTAAAAAGGCTAAAATTGACCCATTTTGACTTACTTTTACGTCACTCTTTGATTACGATAGCAACTTAATAAGCAACTTGTTTACTGGCAGTTTTTGTCGCAACACCAACTGCAGTTGTGATAAAGGCTGACGAGTCCTCAGCTTCTACGTTTGCAGGATTAGGATCAACTTTCGCGGCTGAGTGAAAATGACTAGCCTCAGTTACGTTGTAATAAGAATGATATGCCTGACTTCAGGTCGAGGGCGGTGCTATGATCAAAACCGGGTGATCATATGCAGATCTCCTTGAAGTCTGCGGCCAATCTTTATAAAGCTTCAAAGTGGAATTTTTAAGGATAGAAATTTCTTACGATTGCGGTGTCATATCCAACTAGGACGAAAAAGTCCTGTAGAAAGCTTTACTTTCATTAAGCTGCAATCGGTAGCTGGTTGAGAATATGCGTGTTCAGTGCAAAAGGCCGCGGCATAGTTGATAGTACGGAACCAAGCTTTTCGCGGCGCGATGTAGGCGAAATGGCACTGACCTATTCTGGACCGCATTGAAAGTGTGTCATGGTTACGCTCTAACGCTTTCCTTAGCTATGACTGTTGTATGACTGCTGGACATGTTTTTAATAAAGCTATTGACAAGAGTTCACCGAGATAGCTAGTGCCGTAAATTAAGCTTGAGTTGGTTCATTAGGCCGGGTTAAATCACTGATATTATAACAATCTATACTCTTTCGTAGGAGAGAGCTACAACTTCACCTCAGCGAGTGCCGCCAAAGGCAAAGAGAATGCAACATTGTGGGCTGCAAGTTCTGGGGGAACAGCCGCAGCTTAGCCGAACACAACAAGGATGAAGCGGAGAGACACGTGTCTCTTTTACTTATAGAGAACCGAAAACTTCAAGAAGCTCTTCTCGGTGCCGTAAGTAAAATGTTATACTATGGGTGTCTCGATATTCAATTGAATATTACAATATTTTTGTGTTCCAAATATCATCTAACATACTTTTTGGAGTGCTTTAAGACTCCACACACTGAATAAAAGCTAATAACAGACAAGCGATTTCTCAGTTGTCCAATCAATTTGCTATTATTCCGAAAGTAACGGTCACTAGATTCAGTCATGTTGGCGGTGTGTTTGGGCATTTCTCTCATCTGGAAACTAAACACTATTTTCATGTAAATTTTTCGAGAAAAAAATTATATTGTATTGACCACCAACACACCACCGACATGGCAACCTTGCAACTGGTATCATAATTTTTCAGAAAATCGCTCTTCACTATTCATACCATACCCGTTCTCAAAGCAAAACATATACCACATAGTAACTAAAGAAAAGAAGTATTTCAAGTCGTTACCTCATATATCAATATTTTATTTATTCATCTCGTTATTTTTATCGCCACTTCCTGACGCTGAAGTGTTAAGAAGCGGTCTTCATTATGGTAATTATGATGGTGTGAAAACGCTTTGGGTATCCTACAAGCTAAAGGGCCTCCTGGGAATATCAATTGTTTCTAATTCAAATACGCAGCTGATACTCCTAACAGAAGTCGATTGCGCTCTCTAACAAAGGTCAAATACTCCTTATTTGCCTTGCAACCGTAGCTATTTCAACCTTAAAACGCGGAGCAAACTCCTCGCTAAGAAGAAAATGGAACACATAACGACAGTTCATGAAACTCCTCCTGACTTTCAGTGTCAAATTTGGTAAGAAATGAGAGTTGAGTTGTGTCAAAGATAATTGTCAAACCCCACAATTGAAAATATATTTCTATTTTATGTTTGCAGTCACCAACTCATGATTTTCCCCGCGATTATTCCAGAATGTGGCCATACTTACTGCAAAGATTGCCTAGTACGAGTACAAAATCAAGGGGCTGCAAAACACTGCCCAAGTTGTCGTACGCCAATATCTAGCGAACTGAAAACCAACTTCACCGTCAAGAAGCTCGTGGAGAATTTAGAAGCAAAATGTGACCTCTGTCAATTGGAAGGTAAAATTGAACAACTCGCGAATCATAAATGCCCGGAGGAGGAGATTAAATGTGAAAACGGTCAATGCAGTACCAAAGTGAAGAGAAAAGACCAGGAAAGACACGAGGAAGAATGCATTTTCAAAGTGGTGTTCTGCGAGAGGTGTCATCGAAGCACCACAGTGGCAAACTTAGAAATCCACCGCGAGGAGACATGTCCGGAAGGTGAAACTAACTGTCCACTTAAGTGTACGAAGCGTCCAAAAAGGTATGTTTGATCTTACAAATCTCAACAGTATCACATTGAGTTTCATTCGTTAATAAGGCAGCCAGTAGTCTCGCCACGTGGTGAGTTCGCCCCAACTAGTTTGAACCAGAAGAAATCGTGCTCAATCATAGAAGCTCCATGATAACCGGAATTAGCCTCGGAAAATTTTTAGAACTAAATCCACGATCCATGAGCCATTATGATTTTATTATGAGACCCCGTACTCTCTTTGTACCAAAGCTTGTTTCGAGGTAAACTGTGATTCAACTGAAGCACTTGACATACTTTGCCAACCCTTTTGTGCCGTGGGGTGTGGTAGTGTTCAGTTTTTTTTAAAAAGGCTAAAATTGACCCATTTTGACTTACTTTTACGTCACTCTTTGATTACGATAGCAACTTAATAAGCAACTTGTTTACTGGCAGTTTTTGTCGCAACACCAACTGCAGTTGTGATAAAGGCTGACGAGTCCTCAGCTTCTACGTTTGCAGGATTAGGATCAACTTTCGCGGCTGAGTGAAAATGACTAGCCTCAGTTACGTTGTAATAAGAATGATATGCCTGACTTCAGGTCGAGGGCGGTGCTATGATCAAAACCGGGTGATCATATGCAGATCTCCTTGAAGTCTGCGGCCAATCTTTATAAAGCTTCAAAGTGGAATTTTTAAGGATAGAAATGTCTTACGATTGCGGTGTCATATCCAACTAGGACGAAAAAGTCCTGTAGAAAGCTTTACTTTCATTAAGCTGTAATCGGTAGCTGGTTGAGAATATGCGTGTTCAGTGCAAAAGGCCGCGGCATAGTTGAAAGTACGGAACCAAGCTTTTCGCGGCGCGATGTAGGCGAAATGGCACTGACCTATTCTGGACCGCATTGAAAGTGTGCCATGGTTACGCTCTAACGCTTTCCTTAGCTATGACCAGTTGTATGACTGCTGGACATGTTTTTAATAAAGCTATTGACAAGAGGTCACCGAGATAGCTAGTGCCGTAAATTAAGCTTGAGTTGGTTCATTAGGCCGGGTTAAATCACTGATATTATAACAATCTATACTCTTTCGTAGGAGAGAACTACAACTTCACCTCAGCGAGTGCCGCCAAAGGCAAAGAGAATGCAACATTGTGGGCTGCAAGTTCTGGGGGAACAGCCGCAGCTTAGCCGAACACAACAAGGATGAAGCGGAGAGACACGTGTCTCTTTTACTTATAGAGAACCGAAAACTTCAAGAAGCTCTTCTCGGTGCCGTAAGTAAAATGTTATACTATGGGTGTCTCGATATTTAATTGAATATTACAATATTTTTGTGTTCCAAATATCATCTAACATACTTTTTGGAGTGCTTTAAGACTCCACACACTGAATAAAAGCTAATAACAGACAAGCGATTTCTCAGTTGTCCAATCAATTTGCTATTATTCCGAAAGTAACGGTCACTAGATTCAACAGTATCACACCCAACTGAGATCGATTGATGGAACGCCATGTATAAATAAATGCTCTTATTTTACTAAAGCAAAGTATAAGCATCTCGAGAAAACACTTACATGATTTAACTGAGCAATAGGACCCCGCCTTGTAATACGTTTTTTTTTTCACAGAATAAAGACGCGTTGAAAACTCGCACTGTAGAGAGCATCACCAGTTTTTACTGGAATGTGAACTCTTTCAGACAAAGAACTAGGGTAATAATGGCAGCTACAGATGATGCTCCCTTGATAAGCCCAGAGTTTCAATGGGATACAAGGGACTGGCGGATGGTTTTGTACATTCAAGCAACCGAGTGCAAGCTTTACCTACAACTGATGCAGTCAATGTCCCCAACAAGAATCGCTATACGGTAAGAATAACTTCTAGCACACGATAAAAAAACGATAAGATAAAAAAGGTCCAAGATCATCGTGGAAGTTACTTTGAAGAAAATAGGCCCTTACCGTTCTAGTAAAAATCAGAGAAACAAACCCAAAAAGGATGTCCGTGACACAGACCTCTAGAAGCAAGAAAGTAGTGTTTCTAACACGGTGACGGACAGTAAGGATAATTTTGATTCATCTAAAAAGCAAGAAAATAAAATGGGATGTTCTTTTCTTCCCAAGTCGAACAAACCCGATATCGAAGGTGTATCCTGGACGTCAGCCAGATCAGCGAAATAAATTTTGATATATTTTTTTTCAGATTCTTGATATGTGGTGATGACGACAAGATCTTCACTTTGGAAGACGAAGTAATGGCTGAAGGGCAAATGCTTGGAACAGCAGTGCCCTTCAGCCTCTTGGAAAAGAAAGTAGAAGAAACGGGAGGGTTTTTACACGTAAAAATTTTTATAGAGAAAATCAACCGCACTTGTTAAAGTTATTTCTTGCAATTTAGTGAGTGAGAATTTTGTTTTCTTTTTTTGAAACGGGCACAAGTCTATTTCCTCCTGTGTATTGACATGTGCCATTTTTAATACAACATTCTTAAACATATTTCTCCTTATATTTGTAAAACGATATGGATTGTTACAGTTCAAGTTTCAAGTATTTCACGTTTCAAAAAATACTTGTATCAGAATTACAACCCTTCCTGCAGTGCCCTTCAGTCTCTTGGAAAAGAAATTAAAGTAGAAGAAACGGGAGGGTTTTTACACGTAAAAATTTTTATAGAGAAAATCAACAGCACTTTTTAAAGTTGTTTCTTGCAATTTAGTGAGTGAGAATTTTGTTTTGTTTTTTTGAAACGGGCACAAGTCTATTTCCTCCTGTGTATTGATATGTGCCATTTTTAATACAAAATTCTTAAACATATTTCTAGTTAGATTTGTAAAACGATACGGATTGTTACAGTTCAAGTTTCAAGTATTTCACGTTTCAAAAAATACTTGTATCAGAATTACAACCCTTCCTGGAAGTTAAATAAAGGATAAGTGATAAAAGCAGTTTGACTAGTATGTATGTCAGTAGTATCTACAATATTCGAGAAACGTGAGCGCAGGGAAGTAATAAGGGCTGCTGTTTATCTCCCAAAATCAAAGTAAATAGTAGTTTATCGGTACTTAATTCGTAAGTCTTTAATTCCGTATTTTTTCAAAAATCGCAAAACTAAGGGGCTCTTTACATGGAGGGAGGAAGATCCTAGAAGGCTACGTTGGGTTTACATGCAGAAATTTGGGTTCGTGTGGTACACAAAAGTACAATGTTTGAGAAGGAATTAAACATGGCGGGCGACAAAAACAAACATGCAATTTGGGCCCTTCTGCTCTCTTTACTGGCGTCAACAACTACCTTTCAGCACAGTTATCACAATAATCAGCTCGTGGCAACGCCAAACGAAATGGTCGGCCTTTATTGCCGTGATTAGCCACTGAACGACCCGCCACTATTTTTGTATGTTTTTTCCCTGGTACTAGCTAAGATCTTCCTAGCGAAGGCAATTTACATGGTGCTAGGATCTTCTTAGTACTAGGATCTTCCTACCTCTCAGCTAGGAAGATGCTAGTACCAGGAAGATGACAGCCCTAGGAACAAGTACAACCCTTTGCATGTAAACCGAATACAGAAAACATATGGCTAGGATAATCAGTAGGCTGCATGTGCGGTGCATGATTACCAATACCATTCCACCCCACCTTCCGCTATGAAAAAAAAAAAGAGCAAAAGAATGAAACTATAAAGGGGCAGGGTGATCGTTGTCGTTTTTGTGGGAGGTGGTTATGGAGGGGGGTGACGTTGAGGTTAACGTAAGAATGAAGGAAATATTGGGAAAACCGTTATACTAAAAAAAAAAAAAAGTTATAGTAGACTAAGTTTTCTTTGCGATAGAGGACTATGTGGTGTTTGTCTACCAATTTTTTCTTTCCAGAATCTCAAAAACAGTATGGACGTTATTATTCGAGTATTTTTCCAATTTTCCA